GTCATTTAAACGAGATTAACGCTGACAGCACTAGTGGGAACACAACGATTATGACTGCACATTTATGCCGACACCATCCTAGTGCAAAGACAACTGGAAGCAGACAAAAAACAACAAGCATGCATGCTACAAAATTTACCAGAGTCATTTTGAGTTAAAATATATATTTGTAATTTTAATAAATGACAAATTAAAAAGGCATGAATATTTTTTGTATCAAAAAATATTGAACCGTGACACCAAAGTATCGAACTGAACCGTCCTGTGAATTTTGTGTATCGTTGCCCCCATTGTAATTACCTGTGACACCTGCGACAGGGTACCTGTGACTAAGGCACAGGTACCCTGTCGCAGGTGTCACAGGTGACCCCATAATATGGCCTGCACCCCATAAAGGACAGGGTACTTACAGTGTAGTTGTTTCCTGCAACAACCTGACTTGTTGCCTGCACATTGCACATAATTACAGGTACTTGCACCTTGTCATCGGCAAACTGCATGTAAATACAGGGTACATGCGCCTTGTTACGCACAAACTGTAATTACAGGATACTTACACCTTAGTCGCAGGTCTTACAGTGTAATTGTTTCATTGTTTCCTACAAATATCTGACTTGTTGCCTGCAAATTGCATCTAATTACAGGCTACTTTTGCCTTATTCTAAGGACTATTATAGAGTGCTGCTGAAATGTGTAAACAAATGGTGGCCCAAACTACTTTAAGCAGTTTGGGCCAAACCATTTGTACCAAAAAACTGAGAAGCATTGATCTGGGCTGACATTTGAGGTTTTGCTTTATTTGCAAGGCTGGTAACTAATGAACTGCTCTTCTGTATTACAGTAAACTTTTAGTCCTACTTATTAGGATTTATTGTGTTGTACTATACTTTGTTCCATATATTTAATGGTTTAAAGTAAAATATTAAAAACAAAACCTTCAATGAGCAGGCACAGCACTATTGAAACTACTATCACTTCCTTCTATTTTGCTTCCAAGGAGTCAGACTTTTCTGAGATTTCTGATGGTCTTTCAAAGTTTTCTGTGCACACTGGGTGCTTCGTCACTCATTTTTAATCTTGTCCTTGTACCTAACCATTGCAAAGAAACTTTTTTTCCTTTGTGATTATTTTAAGGCATTTAACACTGACCTATGAATCCTCAAAGCATAAAAACCCACCTAACTCACAGGATGAACCAGAGCGGTATCTGCACATAACAGACAATATAGAAAATAATTTTTTTAAATGTTACTAGCAGCTTTTTGCAAAACCTCATTAATTGTTCATATTTTTTTTATTTTCATTCAAAAAATGCCAAAGATAACACAGTTTAAGAGGCAAATGATAATATTTTTCCACCAACAAAGTGAGTGTAAACGTATCTTCCAATGGTGTGCTGTGTGTCCTTATAAATTCTCGGGCATTTTCATCCTTGTTTCACTAAATTGTTGCAACTATTTTCCATTTTCCTAGCAAAATGGAAAGAAATTAATGTGGCTCAAGATCTTTGCACAGTACAGTATATACAAACGTCCAAGCAGTACTAAAAAAAGAAAAGAAAAACAGCATTCTGTGGAACAGCTTCCAGTTTAGATTTGGGAGACAGACACTATCTCTACTTTTCAGATTAGACTCAAAACTTTCCTTTTTGATAAAAGATACCGTTAGGGCTGGATCAGGTGACCCTGAATGCTCCATTAGCCCCTTAGGCTGCTGGGGGATTCCCATGATGTACTGACTTTTTTTTTCTTCAGTCACCTTTTTCACCCATTATGTGTTCATACACCTCTCTGCATTAAATTGTTATTTATTATTAATCTCTGGCTGTCTTCCACAGTGGGTCTTTTGTCCTGTTTTTCTCCCCTTACTTGGTCGCTGCAGATGTCTGCCCTCACTGAGCCTGGTTTTGCTGGAGGTTTCTTCCTGTTAAAATGAGTTTGTCCTTCCCACTGTTGCCAGAGTGCTTGCTTATAGGGGTCATATGATTGTTACGGTGTTCTCTGTTTTCTTTGTATGATTGTAGGGCTCTTACCTTACAATATAAACAACCTTGAGTCATTTGTTGGTGCTGTATGAATAAAACGGAATTGAATAGAAAGGTGTATCTCTGCTAATCTGTTAAATCGTTGCTATTCTGCAGGTACCCTCAGAATGAATAAGAGTGGAAACAAGAATAAGGTCAGAAACTCACATTCATTGTACAAAGTCTTCAAGAAGCTATTTATTGTTCTTTACGAACAGTAAATACAAACACTGATTTATCTACAGGATCTATTAGATGTTTCTGAAGAAAACTACACAATGAAACACAGTCAACGAGAAGATGAAATACTACTCAGAAGACTCAACCTTCAAGACAAACATCAGCAGAAGATGTCAACAGCAGACTTTCTTAAAATAGGCCCTCCTGTGAAACAAGGCCATGACACATCTGAGAAAGATTTAGCTCTTGCTTTTCTTCACAGGTTGTTGATGTTAGACTATAGAGCGAGATACATTCCTGTAAGACAAGACAATCCTGCTGTGGGCCATTCACAGTCTGTACAAATGTCTGACAGTGAAGACACAGATGATGATGACTTTGATGCACTATTTAGTGAAAGTGTAGACTCTGATGAATCAAAACAGTTTCATTTGCATCCAATGGATGTTCAGATGGCAGTATTTCACTGCTCAGACAGTTTTCTGAAGCAGAACCTAGTTACAAAGCTATCCCAGTGTCAGTACGCCTTACCTTTGCTTGTCCCTGACCCAGTCACAAAGGATATTGAATGTCCTTTGTGGACATTCAGGCAGATACAAAAAACATGGAAGAAAACTCAAATCAAGGATAATTCACATGCCATGACCATGAAGACAATGCCCATCTGCAAAGCCGAGACACCCATGGTGTCATTCTTCCGCCTGGGTTCACTTCCAGTGTCAAAATCTCAGCTCATGAACACTTTGATCAATGACCGTCACAGCACCTTCTTCCACAGGAACTGTCCAGGTAGCACCAAATGTCGCCTGCTGATGGATGGTGTGGCAGAGATTGCCTGGTACT